GGGTTGAGAATAGGACCGAGCGAGCGAGATAGCCGAGGGGTCGGAATCAGAAATTATCGGGTGAGCCAGAGACGCGGCCGCTGCGGGTAATCAGTCCGGGACACGATAATTAGTCCTGCTCGCACAATCGCGGCCGTACGTGGGATTTTCGTCCATGTGGAACTTTCACGCACTCGGCGGCCATCGGTGTGCCCGATCTGTCGTTCTCCGGAAGTCGGCGCGGCCATTATCGCGGAGCGCACTCGCCGGTCCGTATCTCGGTGAAACACGCGGTCCGTTGATAATCGGTCGACTAACAATAACGTTACCACTTGTTATGCGGACCGTTCGCTAACCATCGTCCGACCGGTCTAGGCGATACCACCGTGGACGAATTCGAGGTTGCCTCGTGGTCGTGATTGTCGTAAAATCCCTCGTTAAACGGCCTAGGCGAAATGGTCGAGAACGCTTCCCTCGGCCTCGATTAACCTACGCCTCTTTACATTTTCCCAATACGATAGGAGGCAAATCGAGGAGTCTCGTCGTTTCGTGGAAGCGGTTAGAGGCCCTCGCGGCTTAAGTGTCGGCGTATAATACTAAATATCAATTTATAACTGCGAAATTAGAGCAGCCCTATTCCACGCACTACACGTAATAATACGGTACCCCTGATGAGTTTTATGCTTTAATGCCATATTTACGATGGAAACTCATTATTCATCAAAATTATGTCGAACAATTTGTTCGCTCGGACAGCCTTAATAACCGATGATCTCGGTACTCATTATCATTCATCAGAGGGAATACACTTTTATTGTTACTCGGTCATTAAACTCCATCCTTCGACGTTACTACCTAAATGCACACTTTCCGTAATTCCTTACACCTCGGGCAATGATGCACCTCCCGGCTTCGTCGGAAGCTCGTGCTTAACGGTCCCGTCGTCGAGATCAAAAGTAAAAAGTCGAGCAAAAGTGAAATCTTTCCCCGCGTCATCTATTAAATGACACGCGAACGTTCCCTTCCGCTAAAAAATGTCTTTAAACGAGACGTCCTACGGGAACGCTTAAACCTTGACTTCTAGATCCAGACGACGAGCTGGACTTTGTAGTCGGGTTTACGAAATTTCTGAATAATCTTAAGGTGAAGTGAAACATCCTTCAAATCAGTCGATTCGAATACAACACTTCTTTTTTAAGGGTATTAGACCAAACTGTCCGAAACTTTGACACATTATCATCTAAGAATTGTTCTGACACATTAAAAATTTGGATTTTTCAAACAAATTTATTAACTCAGTCCAGACCAGAACCAAAATGGCGTCGAGCTCTCATATTTCGATCGATATACAATTATCGAAGGCTCTGATATGAGAATCGAAAGGGTCAGGACAATTTTACGACAATTTAGAACACTCTGGTAGTCGATAAACTCGCATTTGAACGGGATAAAGGCAAAAAAAGTGTTGTATGCGCTTCGTTGCTAAAACGATGGGAATACGAGGTCTGGGAGTGAAAATTTAATTGACCTGGAAATCACAAATGGCGCAGGGGGTCCCCCCGCAGTCAATTAGGGCCCCAGAAGGCATGAATCCAGAGGATTTCTGGAGTTTTACTTCGATTTCTTTATAATTATTGTACGTAAACGACAGGTGAAATATGCCATTTGGTACAATATCCAATATAATTCGACACAGTTGTCAATATAAAAACGAACGTCGGCAACGTAGGCATTTAGAAAAATCTTCATTATCGACGTTGATCAAGTTCCTCGACGTGTTTCACTTCACCTTAATACACCGGAAATCGAGTCGCGATCGACTAGAATCAAGTTCGATTCGGATTGGAGGAGTCTCTGGAGCGAAGTCACGACCGATGGGCGAGCAGCCCTTGCCCCTCCCTCGCCTTGAGATTTACGTCTACACCGAAATACACTCCGGCGGTTTATATTTAGGTGTTTTAAGATCGCAGGCGGCCTCCCGTGCCTACTTTATGGCGTATTTATGCAAGGGGAGGAGAACAGAGGAGAGACAGAGTTGACGAGGGCATCGAGGCGAGGCAGGGAACACGTGGTCACGGCGCGGCGCAGCACGCAACGCGATGCAACGCGACGCGACGCGACGCAACGCGGCGCGCCGGCTCGCCCCGTAATATCCGCGCATCCCTCGGGGCCCCGAGGGGCCGGAGTTACCCGAGCTCGCCCGACTTCGCCCGAACCGGACGCAGCCGCGCAACAGGTGTACGGGTCGCCGCTCCGTGCCGAACGCCGCGCTTTTTACTTATTCCCTAACAGCCTTCTTTCCCTCTCGTATTCACTCGGGAAGAATTCCCTCGTCCCCCCCGGATTCGAACCTTCGATCCCGTCCTCCGGTACGAGGAAGATAATTGCATTTCTTTTTAATTCCTCGATTTTTTCACACGCTCCGTCGCGCTTGGGGTAATTTTCTCGATTCGGAGTGGAGTCTAATGAAATGTAAATGATTTGGTGGGAGGGTTTTGACCCTAGTTTGACAGCTGCCACGGTTAGGGTGGCGGAGAAGACCCCGAGGGAGAGCATTCCTTGGAAGGGGCGACATGGGACAAGACGCGTATAACGCGTTCCACGTGCCTCTTACACTCCTTGAGGACTCCTCACCTAGAATTAACATCCTTGAATTTTTTCTCCAGAAGGCTAACTCCACTTAGCAAATATTCTCGACATGTTTGATGCTGGTGCTGTTAGAGAATAGTTATAAGTGTCGGGTTAAAATCCTACAAATACCGAATGTGGGGGGAAAATGGAATAACTTATGTCTCGAATTTTTTACCAGGTTGCATAATGATTATTACGCGCTTCCTTCGAAAATCGGTTACGTCCGATTTACAAGCTGGTCTTTGGTCCCTGCTACCTTGGGTTCGGAATAAATTCCAAGTGGTAGATAAAAATTACTGCCGCGTTCTTTATGGCGGTAGAAATATACCCAACGGTTGACTCGGAATACAAATGTATTTTGAAAGCCAATTAAGGTTATCGGATAAAGAAAATATTCATCTGGAGGTGTTGGTAGTTTGGAGTAGCGCGGCGCATCGCACGAGTCGTAAATAACGTCGGTTATGCAAATATATGTGGAGCATGCGAGGTGAAGTGTCACCTGGGTCACGGGTCAGAGGCATTTGCATTTCGATTCGATCGAGTCGAACCGCCTGGTCGAGCTTGTCCCCTTATCACCGATACCAATCCATCGATCGATATCGGCCCGCTGATTGTAATTCCCTGGGTAGCGGCGCCCTTTCCATTGAGGCGATCGGCCACCACCTGCCTTCGTGTCGATGACGGTCGTGAGATTTCGTGAGTGCGTTTAACTCGTCGTTTTAATTCCCCTCTAATTACTCCGGCCTTACCCCGAAGGCGCGTTTCGCCTCGATCGGCGGGATCATCGGTCCGAGTCATCTGCCATCGTTTCCTCGCTAATCGCGAATACTTACCGCACAGCGAAAAATCAAACATGCCAAAGAAAAAATGATCCCAGCGAGACGCCTCCCCATGGGATATTTATGTTCCATCCTGAAAATCTTGCTATCCTCCGCGACTTCATCGGGATTTCCCGCGAAGAGGTTTACCGTCGAAAGCCACCCCTTTGCGTGGAGGGTATTGTGCGGGGTATCCATCCGTCTGTCGTTTCGAAGAGATCTGGAAAGGAAAATACAAGAGCGGAATGGTACGCCAGAAGGCGCGCGGTGTATTGCGCCATAGAACGCGAGTAAGCAGACGCGATGCACCTGCACCTGCCCGGCAGTTGCACCCCTCTTTACGACGATGCTATCTAGGATGCCCCTTGCTTTGCCTCGGCCAGGCTTACCTTACCTTGCCGCCCTGCGACACCTGACGTGCACTCGCCAACCGTGTGTGAGAAGTACCATTAACCCGCCTTCTCACACACGCTGGGCCATTCGTCTCGCTGTCCTGCTCGAACGACCGTGCACGCGCCAGCACGGGAATGCGAGCCTTATCCTCTAGTCCGCCGCCAAATGGTGAGCATCCATGCTTCGGCCGAGGGTAACGACGAGGCCCTAGAACGGTCTTCTCATAAAATTGCTTAATTGTCTTTCGAACCCTTTCCTCCCGGCTTACCGCGTTCACGAACTAATATTCTGCCTGTACGGTACCGGTACCCCCGCAAAGATAGGTAGAACGGTCTTGCCTATCTTTTTTTCTTCTTTTTTTACAGGATTTAGCATATGCAAAGTATGGCTTTTTATTAACGAGGTATTTCGGACGGATCGAAATTAACGAGGCAGGCAGATCCTGCTTTCAACGGTTCTCGGTCGAACGATCCTCTCGCGAAGCTTGCCCAACCAGAAGGAGAGCGTACAGGTTTTGCACACTTCCGGTTTCCGATTATGACGAGAATTATCAAGCGCCGATAACCACCCTATTCTTTACTTTCACCGGTCGTCAAGGTTACGCGGAATCACGTTTCTCGTTTGACGTTCGGTTAATGCACGTCTTCCTCTTTATAATTCTATGCCCGTAATTATACGATCGTACGTTCCCCCGTGCGCGATCCTGCGTCCATGAAAAAGCGGCATGAAAACCTCACGGTTTCCTCTCAGGGCTAGGCTTCGCGACAGGAAAATTCGCCGGGCTTCGGCCGAGGCTAATTCTGGATATATTATAATATATGCTAATCACTTCCAGCCAAAAACGCGACAAGCGCCGCAGGAAGTTGGGAAACCTAACAGTTAATCGTTTAGATTTACGATATGATTCAACACAGCTGTATGGTAATACAGTGTATCAAAGACGCGTTATAGTACTCGCTTATCTCTATTATCGGAGGCACTTTGTTATTTCGCAATGAAAGGCAGGAAGTTTTTGAGGTATCCGAGATTAGGATGTGGATCGTGCGGTTCATTTTGGACTTTCTTATATATATTCCTCGTGTTCCCTAGGTAATTTCATGCCTTAATTATGCCCCAGAATTTTCATATTAAGTGCTTGTGTATTAACGCTAATAATCGTCTTATCTTGTTGCTTTGCAGACATACCGGCGCAGGTGCCGCCGCTGACACCCGGGACCAACAAAAAGATGACAGAAGCCCTCAAGGCTTCCTTCGCTTCTTGGGAGAAAGAGCAAGATCGCCTTAACATAACCAAAGGTTTGTTGTCGCATTAAGTCATAATTTGTAACCTGCTGAAATTCCTAGGACAATTAAACTATTTTCACCCTGTAACATCCATGGGATATTTTCGGTTACATTCTCTGCACGCTCCGAAACTGTTTCCCATGAAATTAAATGCACGAATATTAATTATTCCGTATTAATTGTTCACTCGGGACGAATATTAATTATCGCACAATTGATTGTTCCCTCGGCACGTTTCGTACTGCATGGCTAGGAAGTAAATAATGGTCATTTTATAGAAAGATTTCGACAAAATTAGAGTACTTATTTCGACTAACATGTTGGGGAATAGTTTTAATCGGCAGAATGGTTCAATTTTCCCGATATTTCCTTTCGAAAAGCGGCGTCCGTTTGAGTTAGGTTAGGTTTACCGAGCGCTCGGGCTGGGTCGGGTCCGGGTCGGGTCGGGTCCTGGGTCGGGCTCGCGAAGTCGGAGGCAAGAGTAGGCGATCTGGCCCGAGGGTACGACCGAGGGCATGTAGGCCGGAAGTAACGTCACACCCGCGTGGCTCTGAATGCGCATACCGGATGTGTGGCATCGGCTCCCCATCAGAACCATCAACATCGCATTCACGATTCCCGCACATCGCGTCACATCGCGGTGCGCACGCACGTGTGCGGGCGCGAGCATGCGCGTCCCGAGAGAGAGAGAAAGATGGTGGCGCGACGGGACGCGACGGGACGCAACGACGACGCCGCCGACGACGCGTTGCTGACCTCCCGGAGATTGCCTGGCCCGATTTCGCCGGGCGATTGTTTCCTCGGGATTCGGTGTATTTCATGCCCGTGGGCACGCCGCGTATCGCCTCGTTGAGCGCCCTCGAATTATCGCGCTCGCATCTGGCGCCCTCTACGCCCGCGCATGCGCACCCCGATCGGCGCTCGCTGCGCCCTCGCGCGGCCCCTCGACTCACCGCGGTCGATTCGAGCGATTCGGAAGACTCTTTGTTCCGTTTCGGGCGGGCCTTTTGGAGTCCGTCAACGTTTCGCCCGCGGTTTCGCCGAAACCTCGCCCGTCTCTCTCCGACTCCCTTTGAGCCGGTCGCGACCACCGCTGCGAGATACAAGGTTTCCCCGATCGGCTCGACCCGCCTAATCTAAGGACACGGCAACATGCCTTGCGTATAAGATTTCGCGGGAGATTCGCAATTGACTTCACCTCGACAAATGCCGCGGCGACGTTGATCACCTCTCCCCTCAAAATCTCTTTTATTCCAAAGTAATCGATTATATACCAGGGACCCTTCACCGTGGCTATGTCTAAATGATGCCTAAATTACTGGAAATGGGTAATTGATATTAGTGGCTCAATCGGAGGAATCACCGCACCGATGGAACTGATTTTAAATTGGAATTTGGACATTTCTCAATGTCGTTGCTACACCGGGATGTTATGGATGAAATGATCGGTTGAAGAGAATGCGCGAGAAAGATAAAATTTGTTCCTAGTTTTTCCTATTTGGATCCAAGGATCGCTGCTACGGGGCGACTCGGGGAAATCTGTGCGAAGCGTCGTTACAGTGCCCCCCGAAAGAGACAAACCTGCCAGAAAGATAGTCAGGGAGGGGAAGGGGGGGAGAGCGCCAGAAAGAGCATAGTCTTGCTAACAATGCTGACAAGGAATAAGTTGAACAAATATCGACGCGATCCTCAAACATCGGCGGTCGCTTTGATCCGTGTCGCGCCGTTAGACACTCGTCTTTGCTCACCTTCTCTATATTTATTATGTGCACGCACACATGTCCGCCTTCGCGAGCACGCTTTCTCGGGGTTACACATTTCTTCATTATTCGTACATACTATCCGTTCCTCGAAGAGTGCTTCTAGGACTTGCTCCATTCATAAAATCCGTGTTTCGCAAGAAAGAGTCGAGTGGCCATCGCGAGACCAGCCCGACGCTCGTTCTTGCGACGCTCCCTGCATTGTCTATTCTACTTGCAATCTCGATGGATGTAATTTGACGTCCGATAACGAGTTGCCGCGTTTTCGTAAAGCTAGACGTCTAGTCGCGATGCTTTCGTTCGCTTTTTTTGCGGCCAAGCGTCCACTGTCGAGGGGAGAGCATGGGATGGTTACCCTCGAGCGCGGGCTATTGTAATTAATTTTCGAAATGCTCGGTGAAACCGGGAAAACAAGGTTTAATTTCGCGAGAAACACACAGTATGTTACGCCCTGCGGACACCATTATTAAGAGTCGATGCGTGCGGATCACGCGGAGCGTGACTCGATTTTGTATCTCTAGAGTCGTGAGTCACGGCCATCTTTTGCGCCTCTTTGCGCTCATCCTTTTAGTTGGAATGCTTAGTTGAAGTGGAATGCAATTATTCGTTAAGTTGAAAAGGAGGTGAATTAAGACACATTAATACCCCCGAGATTCAACCAAGAGATTAGCGTTTACGTGATTCAGAATGAGCGGTGAGAAAATCTTAGATCATCCCGTGAACTATTTTTTTAAATACGGTTATTGTATCCTATTCGTGCATATCGTACCTTTTGAATATATCTACGATGTTGTTTAATAGTGGTCTCTTGCTAATTTATTCTAGCCGTGCTCTCTCTAAATCACAACAGTCATTATTTTCCGAGACTTTATGATGGTTGCCACGAAATATTCCAAGAAGAATTCTTGCAAGGATTCTCCCACTCCACGATTCGTTCTTGACTGTCTGGGACGCGAAATCACCACATAGAACAATGCAAGACGTGCGTGCAAATATGGGCGCGAACCTCAAATGGGACATTCCGATGTTTCTCGGTATTGTTTCGACCAATGGCGGGTCTCGTTCATTGATTATATTCTTCACTCTTTTTGATGCATGCTTTTCTACGATTCCAATGCACTCCACTAACCAAAGTAACGCTGATATCATTTTACTACCAATTTAGGCGGTTTTGGGCTCCCATTGATTCTACAACGAGATCCATATCCGTTAGTATCGCGGTCAAGAGATCTTAAAAAATGGTATTGTTGTCCGTTTCAGATCCAAGGCAATGGTCAGAAACGGCAGTAGCACACTGGCTGCATTGGGCCATCAGGGAATTCTCGTTGGAAGGTGTCGCGATGCAGCCATGGCAGCACATGACGGGGAAACAGATTTGCGCCATGGGCAAGGAGTCTTTTTTAGCACGTGCCCCTGCGTTCATGGGGGACATACTCTGGGAACACCTGGAAATCCTACAAAAAGGTGAGCGACTTTTCGTGTGGCCAAATGATTTTCACGCGATACTTTCTATCTTTCGGAAAGGTTCGACTTTACGGACTTGCAATCCTTCGATTTCTATGACCTCCGCAAGGAAACGTCGAATCGCGCAACGAGTTCCTTTCGCTCACTTTTCTCTTGGGAGAGGCAAAACGAGTGAAGTCCATCCTCGTGGATTGATCACGCCAATTTCTACGTAGGAAAGCTTTTCATTATACAATGCCTTCCAGCCTGTTTTGTAATTTCGTCCGTGGTGAGTTAGGAAGAGAAGGGATATATGGTAAATAAATTGTTTAAAGCCTAGGCATAGCTGAATTCAGTCGGGATAATTTAGGGATACATAAAAAGATAAAGAAACGTAGAATTTTCACCTGTGCAGACCTTCCATAGGACAACACCTGACCTTTTTCAGTGTCCTCGTGCATCTCTTGGCTAGCATCCTATTGGCGATCGAAGAACGGATCGAATTTCCGTGAAATTGCAATGTGGCGCGAGGTATGGATAAAAAAGATATCGTCCTACAATAGCAGGCTACAGGACCGGGACAAGGGGGGTTGAATTGGCACGTAGAGTTTTTATCCGAATTGGTGTTGGATGGAGGAGAAAAAGCTCAGCATTGAAACTCCCACTCCGGATGTCCTGTACTCCCAGAATGGTCCCGGCCGTCCCTATTACCTTAGCCACTTAGATGCTCTCGAAGCACCGTGCATAGAACTGCGGCTCTTCTCAAATGTCCGCCTCCCTTCACCGTATTTTCAGAACTTCAGTCGCGACACGCGCTCGCGAAAGCCCCACAATTATTGGGCCCTGGGTCCACCGGAAACGATCCGCTTTCCACCGTTCTGTACAGCTATCACTACCCATGCGAGTGCGAGGAGAGAAGTTGCGATTTTCAGCAAAGTACCAATATATAAATATCATTTATTTATGTATATTCTCACTTCTGTCATATTTAACGAGGGAGAATGAACGCGTGCATATTTCAATCGACGCCGAAGTTTAACACAGGAAAGAAAAGCAGAGAAAATCGAAACACTTGATGAAAGTTGCTACATACAATTTATAGGGAAAAAGGAGGCACTTGGGGATAAAGAAAGCCAGGTTAAGAGGAAGTATGGGTTCACCCATGATTTAACTTCTGTTCGGTAAAACTCCATGCTTCCTTTCGCGGTTTCTTTTATCTGTAGAAGTCTAGTGACAGCACTCTTTAATTCCGGGAGCGTTGACAAGAGAAACGATACGTATTCAAGAATTTAGTACTTTTACAAAATTAAGGATGATTCCCTTCTGTGGAAACCACTGATCCATTCAACCGACGCATGAGAGACAACAGAATGTACGGCGACTATCTCATTTCCTGTTGACAATGACGAATGTTAAGGTTGGATATTTCTTGGTAAACGAGAATTTTTTATCGCAAACGTTTGTAACGTTGTTTGGAATAACACTTCTTAGGATAATTTTCAAACATCGATCGGGGTGTTTTGAGATATTATAAAGCAGCTATTTCACTAATTATATACGTGCATTTGCAAAATAATCACTTAACAAGTCGCGAGATATCTTTCGCGATGCACAGGCACGGTGACAAATTAATGTCGGGAGACACTTCGATTCCTCGAATGAGAACGGAAATTAAGAAACTAAAAAGCTGTTTCCTCTTGCAGACACGATCGAACGCACAGTGAAACTTGTGCGACCTACGTGTCGCCGTCGCGCTTTCGTGTAAACTTGAAATTTAACACGGGAAATGTCGTACCCAATTACGCCGAAATGACGAAGCGTCATTGAAGATAGGTAGAAAGATAAACGGGAATTAAAAAATATCCCGTTGTTTTTAGCGCGTACAAACTATATTGGTTTATCGTCAAACCTAATTCGGACGTGCCGCACCCTGAGAAACTGGCTATTTTCACAGGCATATATTATCACATTGAATTATGAATTATCTCCGTTTTATCGCTATTGTCCATCATTTTCAGACGTCGACGTAGAGAAGCCTTCGTTAGAAGATATGCCCGCTAATTTATACGAGAGCGTTTGCGTGCCCGACCTGGGGGAGTTCCTGGGATATCAAGGTGCAACCAATCCAGTATCAACGCCAGAACACAAAAGTCCTGGCACACCGACCAGTTCCACAACGTCTAATTCATCGGGTCCCCAAAGTGTACCGCAAATACCGCCACCACCGTCAGCGGTGTCTCTGTCGCACAGGCAGCAGTACCACAACGACGGTAAGGGTCATTCTTTATATCTCTCCATTTCCATACATGCCCTCTACAAATTCTGCAATTTATAATCATACAACGAGCGATTGCACTTTCGAGCTGTTTTCATATGTGAAGGTTAGGGGAAGCTCGTAAAAACTTAACCACGTGAAAGGTCTATCACGCGGCGTATGAAATATTTAACTCGCTTTAATTACAAAGTATAAAGTAAAGTGATAAACCAGCGATATCGCGTTTCCACTAGTTGCACAAAAGGGGCTCGCCTATTCCATACTTACGGTTTACTTATTCCCCTTGATTGCAATACAAACGAAAGTGTTGCGACGTTAGAGTTTCTCATCGTTACGTCAGAGAAGATACCATCTCTCGGGCGTTTTGCGTATTACCACAAGACTCTCATTATCGCTCCTCGTTCTCCGTTTGTCGTTTAACGGCGAACACGTTCTCGAGAGCGATTCGAAAACTGGTATACGTAATAACGTAAATACCCCGAGCACAATGAAATCAATCAGCCAAACGATCTGACTATCAAATGGACTAAAAAACGCCCCGCGGGCAACCTGACCTGTCCCAACTATCTTACGGAATCGATCAGCGCCGATCGATCCAACATTAAACTCGCCCCGCTTTATCGCTACCCAGCACATTCGGATCAAAGCCATGGCTTATCAATGAAACATAATTTCCGACGCAACTTGGTGCCTGTCATGAGCGGAGGGGCGGGTGCAACGTCTTTGTAAACGCGTATCGCGCTTACATCGGACTTCTTGCATTATAGTGCGCTCGTATTATAGTCTGGCTGCATTAAAGCCTGTTCGTAGTTGAGCGTGCTCGCATTATAGCGACATAGATTCGCTAAGAATTACGCCATGGCAGCAGTGACCGTGGGTGAACGAGGGAAAGCCGGGCCTGCACGCTTCGCCGCGGACAATGGAGATGATTCGCCGCCCCCTGACGACGCCCGCGTCTTACTTATAAGCCGGGATTTGTACTCCGAATTGCCTTGCCGGCTGCTCGCTAAAGATTTCTTTTTTAATAATCTCAAATTAGCGTAATCGATTTTGCCGCTTCCTGCCAGGAGCAGCGAGCTGGCGCGCTCGTCTTCGGGGAGGTCCAGGGAGGCGACATTAAGGTGAAGTGAAACCCCTTTCAAATCAGTCGATTCGAATACAACACTTTTTTTTAAGGGTATTAGACCAAACTGTCCGAAACTTTGACACATCACTCCTGATCATCTAAGAATTGTCCTGACACATACAAGATTTGGATTTTGTAAACAAATTTTTTAATTCAGCTCAGACCAGAACCAAAATGGCGTCGAGCTCTCATATTTCGATCAATATACAATTATCGAAGGCTCCGACATGAGAATTGAAAGGGTCAAGACAATTTGACGACAATTTAGAACCCTGTGGTAATCGATAAACTCGCATTTGAACGGGATAAGGGCAAAAAAAGTATTGTATGCGCTTCTATGCTAAAACGATGGGAATACGAGGTCTCGGAGTGAAAATTTAATTGACCTGGAAATCAGAGATGGCGCCGGGGGTCCCTCTGCAGTCAATTAGGGCCACGGAGAGCATGAATCCAGAGGATTTCTGGAGTTTTACTTCGATTTCTTTATAATTATTGTACGAAAACGACAGGTGGAGTACGCCATTTGGTACAATACCCAATATAATTCGACACAGCCGTCAATATAAAAACCAACGTCAGCAACGTAGGCATTTAGAAAAATCTTCTTTATCGACGTCGATAAAGTTCCTAGACGTGTTTCACTTCACCTTAAGGAGTATCGGTTTGACGTAACCTTAACAATTGTTCGGAGAAGTGCTCGAAATTACATTACGGGTTACATCACATTAGCACATATATTTAATAGACATTTGCCCAGGTTTTTCGTCTAAATTTTTTTTTTTTACAAGTAATGCCAGTGATGGGTTGAAAGGCTTTGTTGTCAAAGATATCGATCGGTATGGACGTTCTTGGAGACGTAAAAGAAATGTAGGATTTCGAAACGGACGAATTTGAATGGAATCATCGGTAGTTGCTTGATTTCCTCGCGAATGCACTCTTGAGAATCGCATTTACTGACAAGCCCACGCGGCCGTATAATGTACTCATTATTTCTGCCTGCTGGCGAATCGTTACGCTATGTATTGTGGTTCTTCGAGGTCTCTGGTTCGACTCTCGCTTATCCTCGCTTTCGACGTCTTCGCGTCGGAACGTTGGACACGACATGTGGAAAATGCGCGCACTCCTCCCCCATTTTCCATTTCGAAATTCCTCGATTGTCTTGAATTTACTAACGTAAAGTGTACAAAATTGCTACGCGATCGCCCAACGACACAGTCCGCCGAATCCGCAATCGTATTGCTAATATACCTATTGTCGGGTGCATTTCGAAATTCAAATGAGCGGGTGCCGTCCCAAAGTGATCGTGATCAAAGTCACGTCGTACATTGATGTGTATGTATCATAAATACAGATAGGTACATTCGCCCGCGCGTAATATCTCCTCGAGGAACGGCTCCTTTGGTATACTGACGCGTGTACAAAAAAGGACAGTCCTGTGACGCCGAGTCGCCTTTATGGAAAGGTTAGTCAGTCATTCGACGCGGATGCCCATCATTTATTAAGCAATCATCACCCCGCCGGTGACCTCGGCGGGTTTGGTGACACGTCGATTTTACCAATGATCGGGACGCGAAGTCGCGAATGCACGGATGAAGATAGTATTTAGACAATTTCAGTCGTTAAACATGCGAACGGAAACGTTATACAAATGGGAAACAGTAAACAACGTAGAATCAAGCGATCCTCCTTACACGGCACATTAAACTGGTACTTTCATCTGCTCCCCATTGAGCGGGGCATGTGCCCAAAAGTGGATGGCACCTCGTTGGCCTAACTCTCCCCTACTTATGTCGAAGTAGTTGAACAGGATTGTCTACATCTGCCCCCTCCGCGGGCCCCGCCCCGCTCCCTCCCGGGCCGAAGTGAGCAACAATACGAGAAAACTCGTCGAGAGTACATTAAGGGTGCATTAAGGGAGGAGCACTCGAGGACATTGTAAAGATATGCCCCCTCCCCCCCGGAACCCGGGGTCCCTCCCCTGGTTAGGCCGGAGGGCCGGGCCCGACTTCCGGTTGTAACGCGAGCCTGGCCCTCCTCTGTACCAGGGTACCAACACCGTGTCACCATCCCACCACCACCTTTTACCATCGTGGCATCAACGCTATATCGCCACCACACCACTACCTTACCATCGTGGAACCAACACCACCTCGGAGGCCACCAACACCCTATCGAAAACGCGTTAACGTGGGTCCAACACCTTTCCATGACCGTTCCTTGATTGTACTACCACCGGTGCCGTGTCACCACCACTTTGCCATGTATTACCACCACCGTTTCACCATGGGCCCAACCAGGCTTCGTGGACGGATGGCAACGAACACGTACAGGGTAGTACACGGACTGTGTCTACCGCTTGACGCGCCACGCCACGCCACGCCACGCCGTGCGTTCTCAATGAGTCGAGGCTTTGTAGTCTCTCCTACCCAGCCAGTACGGGCCATGAATGAAGGAAAGACTGAATACAACCTGCGCCAAACGGGACCCAGCCCCCGATGCACCCCTTGTCGACGCAAGCCCACATTTTTTATCCGTCCCCTGCGTCTCGCCGGATCCGCCCCGAAGGGCGACGTCGCGACTCCGACGATGGCGCTTTTGGATAAAAGGGGGTCGAAGACTCCGCTCGAAAGCCTCGACGAATTCTACCCTTGCCCCCTGGCACTCGTTTAAGAGTTTCTTTCCGCGGGAACTTCTAGAAACGTTTCCAACGAGCCCCGACTTTCCCGAATTCGCCCTCGGATGTCGGTCATAGACGAGTTTGTCCAATTATTTAGAAGAGGAAGTCTCACCAATGACGGAGAGTTTGTCGTCAAGGTTAAGTTCGATATTCGTTTTCTAGCAAGTCGTGCTAAAAACAATCCGATTTGATATCTTCCCCTGTAAAAGTCCGCGTAGACGACGGGGCGAAGGCTGTATAACAGGGTATAGGTATCTAGAATTCGGAACTTAGGACAATTCGACAATGCCCGCTGTCGGGAGGAGCAATCGCCCCCTCGCAGGAAGGCAGAAAGAAAGGAAGAAAGGGGCTCGCGGAGGGGCAGGTTCTTAAGTTCCGTGGAAGGAGGAGAGCGCGAATACGGGAGACGCCTTCCGTCTTCATTGTACTTCGCTGGTGTAAGTTCCATCCATTGCTATTGCCGGTACGGCCGCTTTGGGGCCGTACGAATGCGAGCTAAGGAGGCACGAGGCGAAGGGGGCACACGCTTCCGGTCCCCTCTGTATCACGTGCGAGCCACCGTACGGATCCCTCTGCCTCACCTCGACGCATCCGGTCTACACCCTCCGCCCCTTCCTCTGGTTCCCTTCCTCCGTGCCTCTCAAAAATAGGATAGGCCCATGACGACGCCGAGCCGAGCCGAGCGCGTGGGCGAGCTGCTGGCCAACGGCCGGGTTCGCCATCGACCACTCGCGTCTCCTGGGTTCCTTCGCTTTGGGCTCTATCTGGCCGATAATCTGCTCGGTGATAAGGCCGGGTCGGTCCGCGATGGGTCTCGATCCATGTGGTCAGCGGATGCGCCTCTTCTAGGCGGTCCTCTTCTCGAGCTCTCCGAAAGTCCCTGACGCGGTCGGGACGCTTTATCGGTTTCCCTCTGCCAACTTCACTCTTGACGTTAATAAACATTCTTAGGTCCCAACCCTCCGTCCTCGATATCGCTTGGACCTAAGAAATAACTTAGGTCCGGCTATCGTGTAAACGCGAGTTCATCCCCAACCGGTTCATTGCGTATACTTTCCTCCGATGCGATCGGGTACCGTTTAGATACTAAACGTAAATTAACGACAAGGAGGTCGCTGTCCAAATTTTCTGGACACGTGAGGCGGCTGTCCAGCATCTGTTCTTAAATATGAGGATCGAACTCCAAAGCGCG